CCGCAACCTAGAACGGCATGGGCTTGGCGGCCCTGCAGCTCTTCGGACGCTTGGCGTCGCTCGGACGTGTGCTTTTTTCCTTCGGCGAGGACCATCGAGGAGCATCCTTGATCATTCGGCGAAACAACCACGCACGAAACCGAACAAAAACACAGGGAATGGACGTCCGAGCGATGGCCAGGACGCGATTTCAGGACTTGAAGGGGATTATACGCGATGATCTTCTTCGGCATGCTCCTCGCGTTTGTCTTTCGCACCTCCGCGACCACGGTGTCGCTCTCGCGCGGGCCGAGGTGCAGTGATCTTTGCAGCGGCTACACGATGAATTGCCAGATCATCCTTCCGATGTTTTGAGCCAGCGCATCGCGCCTTGGCGCGCGTCTTCGCTTTCGGCGGTGGCTGCTGCCGACTGCGATCTTCACGGACGGCTCGGGCACGGCGCGGACCCTCAAGGACGCCGCTGGAGCGACGCGTTCCCGTCCTGTCGATTGGACCGGCTCCACCAGAGGTCTTGGTTCCAGGATGATGCTGCTCCTGGCATCGCTCGGACGTCACGTCCGAGCGATTTTTCCTTCGGCGAGGACCATCGAGCAGCATCCTTGATCACTCGGCGAAAAGACCACGCGCGAAACCGAACAAAAACGCACAGGGAAGGGGCGTCCGAGCGATGGCCAGAGCGCAGCGATGATCTCCGGGCAGCTGCGCAGCCGCCGGCGCGCGGCGCTGCGCAACCGGCCGCGTCGCTATGTCGGACGTCCGGCGCGCTGCCCTCGCGGACGTCGTCGTCTGCGCCTGGACCCGACGGGGTGCCGCGTGTCTCCGGGCGCCGCCTCTCGGGCCGGGCGAAAGGGGGGGATTGGAGGAGGAGGAGGAGGAGGAGGAGGAGGGAGGAGGAGGAGGAGGAGGAGGAGGGGGAGGAGGAGGAGGAGGAGGAGGAGGAGGAGGGGAGAGACGTTGCCCCTCAGGGGGGAGACGGGGTGGGCCAGGATCGGGCCGGACGAAAGGGGGGGATTGGGAAAGGGGGGGTTACGAAATCTGCTGCATGCAGCTGGTTTCGGCCCCCCCGAGGGGCCCATTCCTCGATACATGGGCGCCTCCGGCGCCGGGAGGCGCCCGGGAAAGCAGCCACGCGAGCTGATTCTCAAACCCCCCCTTTGCTACCCCCCCCTTTCGCCCGACCCGAGCCTTGGAGATCTCGGAGTCGATGTGGTCTTCGACGCTGCAGTCGAGCTCTCCGCCCAGCACGGCCGGGGCTCTTGGAGATCGGCATTGTCATTAGACGCACGCGGCGATACTTCTTTCAACTTAGCTGGCATGTTTGTTATACTTGAAGAAGACAGCCGACGAGGCCGACGGCATTCGCTTGCACCTCCCTGGCGAGGTTCGCCCGCTATCAGTCGCGAGCACTGGCAATGGGCTCCTGGCGAACGCGTTCCGCCTCCGGGTGGAACCGCCACTAGACAGGGCCACTTCCCCCGCCAAGCGTTTTTTTTTTTTTTTTTTTACACGGGCGGCTCATGCTGCAGAACGTAGTTGAAATCGATAGCGAGAGGCGGATTGCCAGTTCACGCTCCGAGCATCCCTGCGCCGTCTCCTTCGACTTCGCCGCCGCGTTCCCTTTGTTGGCCCGCGACTCCACTCAGGAGCTCTTGGAGCACCTGCAGCTTCCGGTGTCCTTCCGGCGCTTTGCGGCTGACCTTTCTGTTGGGAACAGGCACAACATCGCGGCATGTGGCGGCTTGCACGAAGGCTTCAGCATCCGATCGGGCATTCGGCAAGGATGCCCCTTGTCACCATCATTGCTTCCTCCTTGTGGAGACCTCCTGCTCCGACGACTCCAAGCTGGTCTTCCGGGGGACATGTCGAGAGCGTGCGCTGGCGATTTTGGCTCTGCCATCGGGGGATGCATTTGACTATGCGCAGGCATTCGCGCCTCTGTGCTCGGACTGCGAGCTCGTTTCGGGCCTGTCGCGGAACTTGGCGAAAACAGTCTCTTCGCCCCTCTGGGTGACTCCTCGGCGATGGAGTTCCCGCGCCGCCTCGAGGGTCTTTTCCCTGGATGGGGTGCCGCGCGCGCTGGTGACTGAGCGGAGTATTTGGGATTCGCGATGGGACCTTGAGGGAGCGGTCGGTCGCGGCGCAAGGCGTTGGACCGCTACAGTCAGGAGCCGAGCTGTGGGCGCCACTCGGGCTGGGCCTCCACCGCGCCACGGTTGCCTACAACGAACGTCTGTGTGGCCTCTCTCCTCGCGCTCCTCCTGCAGTCGGAGGTTTTGCCAAAGGCATGAGAGTCTACGGAGGCCGCGGCCCTTCGTCGTTTGGTTCTTGGTCCGGCGCGCTGCGTTTTACCAGCGGACATGCACGAGGCGTCGCTGGCGGCCAGATGTCGCGTCGCGCATCGGGGGGCTGCTGTTCCGGGCGGCTTGGGCGTGCCTGGAGCTGTTCGCCGCCTGGACTCCGCGATCGCTGAGGCGGAGCTCTTTGGCGTTCTACTCGGTGGCGTTCTTGGTTCAGGGGCGCGCGCGCGCGCAATCTGTCGTCCGCAGTGGCTGTTCTCCAGCGAGCCTGCGCGGTGGAGGCCGACCTCGGAACCGCTGGGCTCATGCGCCGACGCTGCTCCAGCGCACCGCCGGCAGCCCGAGCAGCGCGGGCCCGACTGCTGCGCAGCCTCCCGGAGGCGAGGCTCCGTGCGAAGTTGTCGAGGTGGCGGCTGCGGCTCGCCCCGCGGTTGCGGGATTCCCGCGGCGCCGCGGTGCTACGGCGACTTGCCTGGCTCGCGCCACCTCGGGCGGTCGCCGCAGTGCTTCGCACTTTGGTTCAACGGATGGTGCGCCGCCCGCTGGTTGCAGGCTAACGGCCGGTGCATTTCTGGGTGCATTCTGGGTCGCGACGCAGTGGAGCATTAGATGGCATGTCCCCTGCTGCAGCGGCATGGTCAGCTAAGGTTTCGGTTGCGTCCGGCGCCAACGTTCGAGGACCGCGGCCTCAGCTTTCTCCTGCTTGCGAACGCCTCCCAGCTGCCGGATGCGTTCCTCATTCGACGTGCTCTTCTATCTGCTGCGGCTTACCGGCTCCATTGCAAATGCCGCCATCAGCCAGCCATTTCCGACCCAGAAATCCTACGACGAACGCTGGACCAGGCTATCAAGGAGGCTGCCGAGGGGCACGCAGAAACTCTTCGCGCGGTGGATGCCGTCTGGGTGGCCGCGGCGCCTGGTGAGTAGGCGAGGCGGCGGTCTCCAGCAGGCGCAGCGGAGACCGGTTGGGTTGCCGCGCCGCTTCTGTGGCGTTTGTTCCGGATCTCTCCCCTCCTCGTCCTCGATTCTTCTCTCTCCCCCTCTTCCCCGCACGCGTGGCGGTGCCAGTGTGTTAGCCGAGGTCGCCTTGACGGCGCATGGTCGTTCCCTCCCTCCCTCCCTCCCTCTTTCAGGAGGGGAAAAACCACACAGACACAATTAATCGTCGATTCCTTAGAAAATGTGGGAAAATATGGGGAGTGGGTTGGAAGACAAAAGCCCAGAAAATATGAGAAAATATGGGGGGTATGTTTATTTGTGTCTATTCATTTGTGTGTCCTGGGGCCCCTTCCTTACAATTGCCCGCGGCCGGTCTGCTGCGCGCGGCCCCGCAGCTGCGGCGGCGCCCCCCTGCCCCGCCGCGTCCGCCAGCGGCATACGCTCCAGTTTGCAGCTCGCCGGGCGGAGCTGCGGCGACTGCAAAGGGTGCGGTTACGCCGGGGTGTGGTTTGCGATCGGCTCCGTCGGGGCCTGGGGGGCACGACGCTGTCCTCGTCGGGCCTCCTCGGGGCGCGGCGGAGAGCTCTGTCGAGGTCCTCGCCCGCCCCCCAGGGTGCCCCTCAGGGTGCCGGTTGCAAGCCACACCCTTTGCAAACCACACCCTTCGGAGTCGCCGAGTGAGTTGCATGTTCTTGACAAATCTTCAGGCTGAGCCAGGCTCGTCTGCTAGCCTCCTGCAGTTTTTCCGTGCACCCTCGTTTCTTTCTCGTCTTCCCGCTTCACTCCCCTGCCCGTGTGGGACTTCAGTGCGAGCACCCCTGGAACAGGCCAGCTGAGTTTACGCGCTCGCGAGCTGCTCAGTTGCTTGGGGGGGCGCCAGCCAATCCTCTTCCTCCTTTCCCTCCTCCTCCCCCGCCTCCAGTGCAGCGCATGATCGTGTCAATCGAACGTAGGCGTCGTGTCCGCCTGGCTTGAGTGATTCCCTGGCGGAAATCGTGACAGACAGCGGTTTTGACCCAAGTCTGATACAGAAGGCGTTCTCCGAAGCAGTTGCGGAGATCGCCCGCTCACCGAGTCCGTGACACGTGATTTTGCTCCTGCTGTCCACAAGGGGGGGGGCAGGATTTGTCCGCCTGTGGCGATGCGGGCAGCTGATGGAGAGCCATCTGCATCGCGATCTCCTCTCGTTCGGCGGCTCGCGATGCGAACGGCAGGCGCGCGAACTATGACCATACTGATGTGCCGCTGTCGCTGGAAATCATCACGAGTTAACGATTTTATGTACCTCCGCCTTGCAGGCACAAGGAACACTCGTCGACGGGCGATTGTGTATATATCGCGAAGGCCTTACGGCCGGTGCCGCTCACCCTCCGAGGGGGGGGGCGACGAAGAGAACGGCGAAGACGACGACGCTCGCGAGCCCTCGTGGAAGCCCTTATGGGCCCCTTTGGCCTCGCGGCCCTGCCCTCCCAGGCTCGCCCCCGGCGATCCCCTTCCGGGACTGCTCCCCCCCCTCCCCCTCCTCCTCCTCCTCCTCCTCCTCCTCCTCCTCCTCCTCCCCCTCCTCCCGCTCCTCCTCCTCCTCCTCCTCCTCCTCCTCCTCCTCCTCCTCCTCCTCCTCCTCCTCCTCCTCCTCCTCCTCCTCCTCCTAGCCGTTTCGGCTCGGGCTGGCGAAATTGTGGGCAAGCGCCCGAGCGTGCACTCGCGTTTCTTCGAAGCGGCACACGAGTGCGAGCCATGTATGCAGGGCGCGGCGCGCACCCCATGTGGATGTGCGGGCAGTGCGCCAAGAAGACCGGCACCGCCTATGCGAACTTCGCGTACCGCGCGGAGTGCCGCATGTGCGGCAGCCGTGCGCCCAAAGGAGTTTTGGAGAAGTTGTCGCAGCCTGTGGAGGCGCCGTGGAAACTGCCATCGGGGAAGTGGGCCAAGGGGCCCCCTCCTCGCAGCGGCAGCCAGGCCCCTCCCCGCAGCGGCGGCCAGGCCCCTCCCCGCAGCGGCGACCAAGCGGAGGCGAAGAAGGGGGTCGACGACTAGCAGCTGGAGTTCGCCAAGTATGTCCTGGAGCTCCAGAAGCACAAGTACGGGGCGGACCGGACCGCTTGGCCGCAGGACCAGCCGCAGCTCCTGGAGTGCGCGGCAATCGTCGACCAGGCGGAGGCGGCCAAGAGCACGGACGGGAACTTGGGCGTGCGCCAGATCCTCATGCGCCTCTCCGACACTGAGCGGAAGCTCGAGCGTGCGCAGGGCCGCATCGACGCCATCAAGCTCGAGGCGGCCGAGGTGCAGAAACGCCTGGAGGAGGAGGAGGCCATCCTCAAGGGTCACCGCGACAAGAAGAAGGAGCTGGAGGAGGCTCGGGACCGGGCGCAGCTGCGCGAGGCGAGCGCGCGGCTCCAGGCAATCCCAGCAGGGGAGGCCCGTGGGCGCGCGATCCGAGGCGGGATCGCGAAGACCGTCACTGCCGGCGGGCTCAACGAGCACACGGAGCCCGGTCTCAAGGCCGAGGTGGAGGCGGCCGCCGAGGTGCTGGCTGGGCTCATGGAGCGGGTGGCGGCCCAGCCCCCGCCTCAGCCGTCCCCGGCACCGGCCGCGGCCGAAGCGCATGCAGGCGCTGGCGCGCCTGCTGCTGCCGCTGGCGCTGCTGATGAGCCCATGGCACCTGCCGAGGAGCCCGTCGGGCCCGACCCCAACGACGACGAGCAGGAGTTCTGGGACAGCATCGGCCTGGGTGCTGCGGCCGCCGCTGCGGGCCCAGAAGGGCGCGCTGACCTGCTGGCCCGGCGCAAGCGGGCCTGGGAGGCCACCAGCGCTGCGCATAAGAAGACGCGCACGGAGCGTTCCTAGGGACCTGGAGGCGGAGGACCTGGAGCTGTGGACAGCGAACACAACAGCGTGGAGCTCAGTCGTGCGGTTGCTCGACTGGTGGGTCGTGGACGGTGGAGGCCGGCCGCCCGACGTCGTGTGCTTCCAGGAACACCGGCTGAAGCTCGAGGGCAAGTGTGCCTCGGCGAGGCGCGCGGCACGCGCGCGAGGATACCGGGCCACCCTGGGCCTGGCGATCGCGACGGGAGATGGCCCCGTGCAGTCGTCGGGAGGCACGGGGATTTTGTCGACGGCGGCAGTTGCGGCAGCGGGCTACCCAGCGACCCGCTGCCCCAGCCACAGATTGCAGGTGGCGCAGCTCAATGTGGGGTTGCAGCTGCCGATCTTGGTGGCTTCGCTGTACCTCGTGGACTCGGTGGGCCTCACGGGCCCCAATGTCGATTTGCTGGAGAGCCTCTTGCGCGAGGTCCTGAGCTGGAGGTTCCCCTGGGTGGTTTTGGGGGACTGGAACCTCGACCCATGCATGGTCCATGACTGGGCGCGGAAAGCCGGAGGTACGGTGGCTTCGACCGGCAGGCCAACGTGCGGCGCGAACGAGCTCGACTACGCGGTGGTCAGCAGGACGCTGTCGGAGATGGTCGACGACGTGCAGCTGATGGAGGGCGCCCCGCTGCACCCGCATTCTCCGGTCATCTTGAGGCTGAAGGGCGTGCACAAGAGGGCGAAGGTGCAGGTGGCGAAGTACCCCGCCAAGTTTCCGCTGGACCTGCCTCCGCCGGTGCGGCCAGCGCCGCAGGAGGAGACCGAGTGGGAGATGGACGCGAGGGATTTCAGCATCGACGAGGCGTGCGCGGAGTGGTACGCGAAGGTGGAGCAGTACCTGGGGGCCCTGCACGGCGAAGGGGTCCCGGCCAGGATTGCCCACAGCAGGGCCGACGGCCTTCAGGTGCATTGGGTCCCGTTGGAGGCGCACTGGGCTCATAGCGTGCGGCTGCGGTACAGCCAGGAGGCGCGGCGATGGCACAGCCGAGCGGGTGCCCTTCGGAGGCTTGCGGCGCTCGTCACGCAAACTCGCTCCAGCGGCAAGGGCTGGCCAGAGTTGGAGCGGCAGAAGCGGCTGACGAGGTCGTTGCAGGGCCCGGGTGAACCGTGGCCCGCAGAGGGGGCCCTGGCAGGCCTGGATATGAAGAAGCTCACCGACGTGGTCTGCTTCGGGAGCGCTGGGGCCTACGGGGTGCTCCTGCGGGCGGTCCAGAAGGAGGTTGACCGCATGGACGACGAGGACCGGGGGCGGCAGGGCAAAGAGTGGAAGGCCTGGGCCCAGGCGGCCGCTGCCGAGCTAGGAGGCTCCAGGGCCTTCAAGTACATCAAGCAGCGGGACTTGGACTCCACGGTCATGCAGCAGAAAACGTGCAATGGCTCCGGGCTCGGGCAGGAGGGGGCCGCAGCTGGCAAGGTGCAGGACGAGGAGGAGGGACCAGGCCTTCTGGTTGCAGGCTCGGAGGCCCTCCAGGTGCTGCTCGACGACTGGATGCCCCTTTGGTGCAAGGCCAGCCGGGACGATGAGCAGCGCCCCGCCTCGTGGCCCGACGGGGGCCCGCTTCCCGCGCTATCGTGAGTAGACTTGGACGCGGCGCTGGACAGGTACAAGGCGGGATGCGGACTCGGGTGGGATAGGCTCCATCCGAAGAAGCTCGCTCACCTGCCGCAGGCCTACCGTGAGCGGTTCCTGAGGATCCTGGAGGCGTGGGAGGCCCGCCCGTGCGACGCGAGGCTCTGGGAGCTGATCACGGTGTTCCTGGCCAAGGAGGACGGGGGCATGCGGCCGATCCACCTCAGCTGCCTGTGGATCCGCTTATGGTCCAGGCTGCGCCAGCCGCTCGTGAAACAGTGGGAGGACGACCTGAAGAACCCCGCCTTCTGGGGCTCGGAGGACAAGTCCTGCGATGCAGCCGGCCTCGTCTCCAACCTGCTGGCGAGCTTCGCGCGGCTCAAAAGGATGGCTGCTGGGGCAGGCGTGGTGGGCCTGGCAAAGTTCTACGAGCACGTCAGCCACGCCGAGCTCGCGAAGGCGGCGGGCGAAACGGGGTTCCCCCAGAGGCTCCTCAAGCTCCTGTGCCTGAGCTACAGGTTCAGCCGCAGAGCCACCTGGGATGGGGCGATTTCGGATGGCATCCGGGCGAACGGGGCCCTGACCGCGGGGTGCTCGTGCGCCACAGGAGTGTCCAAGCTGCTGCTCCACGTGGTCACGAAGCGGGTGCAGAAGTTGTACCCGGTGGTGCGCTGCCAGAACATCGTCGACGACGTCTTCGTGCAGGCGGTGGGCGGAGGAAAGCAGGTGAAGGAGCAGCTGCCGAACGCGACGCTCGACCTCGTGCGCGGGCTGGTCGAGAAGGGCCTGCCCGTCTCCTGGAAGAAGACCAAGTACCTCGCCAACACTGCGGACGTGGCTGCTGCCATGGGCGCGGCGCTGGGGGCAGAGGCGGCTGCAGATGGGTCCCAGGGCGGCCAACGGAGCTCCGGGGCACGGAACTTGGGCTGCGACGCCACGGATGGCAGGTGGCGGAGGGTCCACGAGCAAGACGTGCGAATGCAACGAGCTGCGCGCGTTTCCCTCCGAGTGCAGGCCCTCCGCAGGGCAGGAGCTCAGGCAGCAGGGCTCCAGAGGGGGAGCCCTACGGCGACTGCACTATGGGGATCGGCGGTCACAGGCATAGCCGACGGCAAGCTGCACCAACTCAGAATCCTGGCGGCGAAGGCTGCTGGCAGGCTCCCAGCGGGGCGCAGCGTCGGCCTCAGGCTGAAAGCGCACCCACGCGCGGCCTCGCGGGACCCCTGGGTCTTGCACGCCGCCGAGCTTGCGCGCGCCTGGACCTCGACACTGGCGCGGGGGCTCGTCACGGAGGAGGTGATGAAGACGTGCTGGGAGGCCGCGAGCGGCATCCTGATGCGTGAGAGGCCCTGGAATCTGTGCCGCTGCCCAGCGGAGGCCTGCCGCCTTGGGCTGCGCAGGGCAGGGCTGGACATGCCGCGGTTCGATGCCCTCGAGATCCCAGGAGGTGAGGTCATTCGGTTGCGGGACTTCTCTCCGGGGGCTGCCAAGGAGATCGTTCGCCGACGCGCGTGCCAGATGTCCGACGTGGCGGCGCTGGCCAGGCTGAGAGGGGCCGGCACGTGGGCGACCCCGCTCAATTGGGCGCCATTGGCGCAGCTCCTCGGGCCGAAGGCGGTGGACAAATTCGAGTGGACGGTCGGCCATCAGCGGGCTCTTCGGAGCTTGCTCGGAGGTTCCCATTGGCCGCGGGCCCGGCTGTGCGACGAGGGTAAGACGGACAGCGACCGATGCACTTTGTGCGGCGCGGAGCGGGGCACGCTCTGGCATCGCTGTTTCGCTTGCGACGGCCACGCGGTGCGCAGGAGGGACCGCTGCCCGCCAGAGCTGCTGGCCGCCGCGCGCGTGGTGCGCGAACGCGGAGAGGCGGCGGGTGAGCTGTTCGCCCGAGGTCTGCTGCCCTCCGCGCAGCAATGCTTCTCGAGGTCAGAGGCTCCAGAGGCCCACCACCTCGTGTGGCACGTGCGACCCGAGGGGGGTTCTCGGGTGACGTTTTCGTCGACGGCAGCGCCTTCGACGTGGAGGACGACTCCCTGAGGCGGGCAGGGTGGGCCATCGTGGCCTTCAACGACGACCGGGAGATCACGGGCGCGGCCTACGGCGTGGTGCCGCTGGCGCAGGCGCCGCTGCAGGAGGCGCGCGACGGCGAGGACTACGCGTTCAAGATGCTGTCGCAGCTCGGGCAGGGCCCTCTCAGGGCCCATTGCGACTGCAAGGGCACGGTGAAGTGCGCCCGCGACCGGGCCTTCGCCATGCGCGAGGCCAACGTGCGGCGGCACCTCTGGTCAGCGTGGTGGGCCGAGATGGGCGACCAGGAGGTCGAGGTCGTGAAGGTCAAGGCGCGCCTCGGGGTGAACGCCATGACGAGCCACCTGGAGAGCTGTCGGCGCGCTGGGAACGCCGCGGCGGACCGCCTGGCGCGCCGCGGAGCCCGGCTGTGGGGCGTCCCCGAGGATGCGCGCCTCTTCGCCGCTGCGCGCAGGCGCCGAGCCAGGCAGCTGGCGCGATGGCTGGGGGACCTCCACGCGCACCTGCAGGGAACGGAAGTCAGAGATTCCGTGGGCCTGAGTGCCGGCGCAATGGACGACCAGGAGGAGCACGATGGTGGCCAGCACGACGCCGAGGGCGGCCCAGCGACCAGCAGACGGCCCCTACAATGTCACGGAGTTGGTGCGCCCGAGGCCCTCCAGTTGCCTCCAGGCGCACCGGGCGAGCAAGCCACAGCAGCCGGTGACAACGGCCCGGAGGTGGACCACGTCCCTGCAGTGCCATGGAAGCTGAGGGGCCACAGCATTTTGGCCAGGCCTTGCGGCGACGAGGACGCGGTGCTCTTCTGCATGCAGTGCGGTGCCAACGCGCAGGTGCAGCGGAGAGGACGGGGCAGCCTTCTGGGTCCGTGCCGCGGCCCCGAGGCCGCCAGACTCGCAGAGGCGCGTCGGCGGCTGCGAGCTGGCCTACACCCGCACCCTCGGAGGCAGAGACAGCGGCTCGGGCAGCCGAGGGCTCTCACAGACGCCGAGCGGACGATCTGGCGACCAGTGCTGGCGCCCGGCGCAGGCGAGGAAGAGGAGCAGGAACCTGCAGTGAGACCGGGCTACGGGCTCAACTGGCGGCGTCTGCACATCTACGACGTCGCGCGGCTGCACGGCTTCCACAGCCCAGCGGAGGCGGTGGCTTGGGAGCGCGCAGCGGCGCAGCACAGCGACGGCTCCGAGTGCGAGGGCTGAGGCCGGCGTCCGGCGGTAGCCTGCACGCCCGAGTGAAGGTGTTGCCGCAGGAGCCCTGAGCCGTTGAGGCCGCCAGGCCTCGGCGGCTGTGCGGAGCCGCCGCGGCGGCGCAGGTGGGCTAGATTAGCCCGCCCTCTACCCAACCCAACCCAACCCAACCCAACCCTCCTCCTCCTCCTCCCCCTCCTCCCCCTCCTCCCGCTCCTCCCGCTCCTCCCCCTCCTCCTCCTCCTCCGCCTCCTCCTCCTCCGGAAGGAAGGAAGGAAACAGGGACCTTCCTCTTCACTCGATGGGTGCTCCCCCTCTTGCGGCTCCGTGGGGCTCTCTTGGGCCGTCGTTTGTCGGAGATGGAGGGGGAGGTCACGGCCCCTCGGGGCCCCCCCCAGTGAGCCCCGGGCGAGCCCGTCATGGCGCCAACATCGCAGAGCGGATCTCGTCCAGAAAGCAACAGGATGAGCCCAGAATGTCCAGGAGAATTCCGTTCCGGATTTCGAAGTGAAGTTTGTGCGGATGTGTTTTGGGGCAGGAAGGAAGGCTGCAAATAACCCACGTGACATTAATGATGTTTTTCGCTCGCCGTTTCTGGGTCTTGCATCGACAGAAATCCATGCACAAATTCGCTACAGCACGTATGCAAGGCCGGTGCAGTGAAACTCGCCCCGCGACCCCCCCCAGGTTTTCCTCCCCCGGGATCAAAGGGAAGGAGCTTCCCTTCGACTCGATTACAACGTTGTTCGAGTTTCGTCTGGCTGGATCGCTTGAGGAGGGCCCAGGGAAAGGGGGGGAGTGGCGACAGCGATGACGACGACGACGACGACGACGACGACGACGACGACGACTCAAACGGAAAAGGGGAGCGGCGACGGCGACGACGACACGCCCCACACACGCCGACAGGGTCGGCGGTTTTCCGCAGCGTACCTTGCGACTTGTGGTGCTCCTGCTGCTCCTCCGCTGGCCCTTTGGGCTGGGAGTCACCATTTGTTGCTCCCCCCCTGGCACAGCTTATACAGTCGGCCCAGATTAGTAGGTCTACCCTGCCAAGTCAAGGGTACCCTTGTGTCCTGTGTCTCGCGATCCATGCTTCCCATATTCCTGGGGCAATGTGGCCCTCGGAAGGGTCTTGTGTCTTCTCGCGTGTCCTGTTCAATCGAGTCCGACTGTAGTCGACCCGCATACAGTCGGGGCGCTGAAGAAGGAACCCTTTTCGTTTGGGAGGGGTTCCGTGTTCCTTAGTTGTTTTACAGTGATCCTTGGGTTGTCCTGAGGTTTTCCATGGGAAATCGGAGTTTAACTTATGAAAAAAGGGGCCTCGTTCCTTAGGGTTCCTTGGGTCAGCGCCCGAACCGTAGTAAGGATGAGCGACTTCCCAAGGTTACCACTGTATCCGTCCCCTTCGGCGCATCCTTGGCCGCTCTCGCTGGCCGCGCCCCGCTCGCAAAGTGTCGACATGGCCATCCAAGTCCCTTGCATCCTTACCGTGCGTCCTTGGTATATGGGTTGACCGTAGCAGACTGAGCCAGTCGAAGTCCCCGACCGACCGCCCGACCGACCCCTTAGCCCTTGCGACTCCCAATCCTCCCTCGGCTCCTCAGCTCAGCCCCCCAACTCCTTCCCTCTCCCTCCCCCTCCTTACTCCTCTCTGTCGTTTCTCGGCCGGCGCGCCTCGCCGAAGCGACGGGCGGGTACAAACCTCTCGTTTTCGAGGCCACGGCCTCCACGCCATGCCCTATGGGGCACGGGCGGGCTCACCAGTGGAGCGCGCACGACTCCCGCGCTTCGCTTCGCCTCCTTCCCCGCTGCGTCTTGGCCAGGAGTCCGAGATGAAGGCCGCCGAGAAGGGGCGCCTCCTGGACAAGATAGCCGCCCTCGAGAAAACGCTGAAGCACACCAGCAACGAGCTGGAGGCGGGCAGGGGTGCAGTGGAGACCCTTGCCAAGAAACACCCTGCTGGCCTCCAGGGTGCCCTTGGTTTCTTGGGTTTAGGTGGTTTTCCGGTGGAAATCGTAACTTTCCCACACCTGAAATCAATGGACGTCCTGGGGTCTCGGGGTTGGGTTTTTTGTGGAAGGTTTCTCGTTGTCGAGCGAGCCCGCCAGCATTCCTGCCTGAGCCTCGGTCGCCATGGCTTCTTAGGTTCGCGCTTGACCAGCGTCCCGGAAGCGGTGGCGACGGCGGCGTTTGGGAGAGGACTAAGGACCTTCAGAACCTTTCAGGACCCTCCAGGCAAAGCTGTGCATCCATCGTCACTGGTTACACCACCGGTTTGAAAGGAGGGGCGTTCGATCGCATTCAATAGAGGTGGAAGGACTGTCTGCTCCTTCTCCCTGGGTTCCAGAACCAGGGACAGGGGCGTAGAGGGCAAGCTGTGCGTGCTCGCGCCACGTCTGACACCCCATCCCTCCCATCCCTTCCCATTCCGCTGGTGTTTTTTCTCTGTTTGCGGACGCGTGTCATAGCCGACCTGGAACTCCACAGGAACACCCGTATCGCCTTGTCTTGGCATCGTTCGGACATGTGCATGTTTCCTTCGGCGAGGGCCATCGAGGAGCATCCTTGATCGTTTGACGAACAAGCCACGCACGAAACCGAAAAACACAAGAGATGGAGTTCCGAGCGATGGCGAGTTGTGCGCAATCGGAAAGGGGAGTTGCGTACATAAAAGGAGGTGGCGGGTGAGCAGGGGGATCAGCAGGAGGGAAGGGCGAGGACGAACAGCAGCAGCAGGAACATAATGGGAAGAAGCGGGAGGAGCAGGAGGACCAGGGAGAGGCGGAGTGGGGAAAATGAGGGGGGCGACCATGATGGGAAAGGACTCGGCTCCAGAAAAATGGCCCGCGCTGGGGCGAGAGCGCGTTTTTTTTCTGCACGACGGGAGCAAACCACCGATCCAAAAATGAAGCCCACGCTGCAGCGGGAACAAACACCAGAAACCATCACATGGCAAACGAACATAACAGAACATCACAAGTGCACTGGACGCAGCCAGAGGAGAGAGGAGAGTAGTATTCAGACATTGTAAATGCAATGGTAAGCTTCCGCCCAAAGGGGCAAAAGGCGGTTAGCATAACAAGACCCGTAAACCACCTAGGCCCAAAGAGTTAGTAAAATAAGGGCTGGAAGCTTGGTTGCGCATTCTGGGAAACCGCACGCCGCCCAGACCTTGAGCATGTAACAAAGCGCATCTGGAGGATGGGGCCTTCTGACACGAGATGGCGAGCACAGATGTCGCGGCGCCGCATCGTAACTGAATGATTGAAGGATTGGTCGGGGGGAGGGAGGGCAGATAAGTAGAGGAAGAGAAGGGTGAGGAAGAACCACGCTGACCAGACAAAACGCGGCAGCGCCCCAGCCCTAGGGGGGCAAACCTCGACCGAATTGGTTCCCCAGATGCCGTTCACATTCCCCACACCCGTGTACCTTTTACATTCATTACAACCCATACTCGTGCATCTCGCATGCGGAACGTATTCAAGTCAATTGCCAGGTGGAGGCGCTACGGCTGCGACTTCAAACAATCGTGGCATCGACGGTTACGTGGACAAAAACTCAAGCACGCGTTATCCTACGAGTCGCCGTTGCACGTGAACTCGTTGACCACGACATCCAGCACCATCTCCACAGCACGCCAGCTACTCGCTGAGGGTTCGAACGATGGAATAACCGCAACTAGATTGACCAGTAGGCCGACAACCATCAGGATAATTCTTGGAACCGGAACATGATTGGGGAACAACATTTACCAGGACTGCAAGGGGAGGAACGACCACCATGAGCCCCCCAGCCACAACCAGAAGGCCAAGGGCAAGACAAGCAAGGGAAAAGGGCAAGACTCGATCCGAAAAGGGAAACTACGCCCAAGAAGAAGGACGACGGCCAGAACGGCAAGTACAATTACGACGAGCACGACGGCAAGGCTTGCAACTACAATTACAACGAGCACGTCGCCAGCACGGCCCAGAACGTCAGGAACATCTACGCCGTCACGAGGCGCGACGGGGAGTTGCCCCACAACGACCACAAGCTGAGGGGCGAATGTTAAAAAGATCAAACACGCCGAGGAGCGAAGAGCGGCAGCTGCTATCGTCGAGAAAGCGGGAGGTTTACTTTCCACCGACACCGTCACACATATCGCCTTTATCAGAGCGGTGGTCCAATGCAGCATGCCTCGTCCCAGCAGGCGAGGGAGATCCCCGACGCCGACAGGGCTTTGGATGACCACTGCGAGCACGCATGCATCCACCAGCAGCAGATAACGATATACATGAAAGCGACCGAGAACATAATCGAGGAGCTCACCATTTTCCAGTGCGACAGCAGCAACGCCAGCGATGATCGACATACCGACGCAGAAGCAGATTTTGAGAAAGCAGATCAATCACAGTGGGACAGATTGCCAAGACGATCGCCTACACCATCACCAGCCCCGAGGTGGCAGACATGGGCAGGGGGAACCACAGACGGACGGGGCCTCGGCACCATGCACAATATTCTGAAGGAGGGCAACCAGCGCATGGCCAAACGTGCTGAGGAAGCAATGCCGAAGCCAGCGACGAAATCACCATTCTCAGAACACGAATCCGAGCAGCGGAAGATGCTGCGCGTCAGCATGGACATCATCGGCACCGCGAGGCGACAAAGGCTGGCACTTACGACGAGGAGCTTAGGAAGGGAGTGCAAGGCTCAGGGCAGGCCACAGAAAGGAGGCAGCACACCACGAGCGCATGCAGACCATCCACTCGTTCAAGCTTTACCGGTTGGAGGAGGCGATCGAAGTCGCGCGGAGACCGCTGGCTGATATGGGGCATCACCCGCTGACACCAGGCAACAGCCAGCTACAGAGAGAGAGAGAGAGAGCTCCAGGGAATGCAGAAGAAGCCCGCCAACAGCAGCGAGGTGCTAGACAACGTGGAGCATAATCTTCGAGACGCAGAAATATCATCAGGAGGCAGGCGGAATAGGTATTACAACGTGACCCTAGAAGCCGAGGGCCACATCGCCAGCGTCGAGGCCACACCGGGAGAAGCCAGCATCTAAGGCCACGGCGACAGCGCAATCTTGCATCAGAGGCGGGGAGAAACGCACAAGCGAAGCAGGAGGTACTGGAGCAAAACGGGCGCCACAATCCACGCGGCCAGCGAGGGGCGCCAGCAGAGGCCTGCCAGCATCGGGCAGAACGCGCGCAGAAGGGGCCTTGAGAACACCGAGCATAAAGAAGGATACCGCCAAACGGTCATCGCGAACATTCACAGCTACGAGCAGCCAGTGAACGACCATGCTTTACAAGCAGGAGGACGACGCCATCAACCAGGCCCTCGGCATGCCGATATCGGCGCGGACGACGAGGACCTCGCAGCCGCCAGCTGAAGTACATGCAGCATGCGCATCGCAACCAGACGAACGTCATCAGGGGCAGTACCGCCCGCCCGCCCCGCCAAGTGCAGAGGGGCATAACTGCGCCACCGGGAGAGACGAAGCAGTCGAAGTTGCCGGGGAATCCACGGATTCAGATTGAAGGTCCGATGGCGGCGTTGGAGCGCAAAGAGACGACGCCGCGCGCGGCGAGTTTGGCACGCCGCCGCGTACGACGACAGCGACCTTGACCATCGCGTGGACGAGGTTATTCAGACGGATTGACCAGCAGCCCTTGACCACAGACGCGGGCCAGCCATGGCGCCAGGCTTCAGACCCTGGAGACTTACTTCATTATCTAATGAGTGCGGTGGTGATATCCATTGCCGATCCACGATAGGAGTTTCACTGGCCTCCAGGCCTGGGTTTATTTTTCTAAGGTTTCTCCATCCAATGCCCTGGCCGAGTTGGAACGGGCGCCATTTGGTGAAAATTTGGAATCCGAGTGTGCGCGGCGCCCAGGCGAGAGCTCTTTTTTTGAATTCGGTCCGCATTTTATGTTTCTTGTGGCCGCGTAAAACGATGGCGCGCGGCGTCACCGACGCGAAGACCCCATTCTTAGGACCAGTTGCGGTTTGCAAATCAACGAAAACTGAATCCATCTGATCATTGAGGCCGTCTGCGGCAACGAGAGCGACGAGGATGAGGATGTGGATGTTGTTGCAAATGGTGGCGACGGCGAGTTTGGTAACGCTTGGGGAGTGGTGATGGCGTCTGGGAGCGCTTGGACGTCTGGGAGCGCCTGGGGCAGCCTGTGGAGCGCTGGGCCTAACATCGGAGTCGGCGAGGAGTGCCCGAAACACATCGATTTGCCATGGGCATGCTATCGACGCATTGGTTCGTTTCTTCCTGCAGTGCCCCCGGGCGCTTGTTTTGCGTGGGATGACGGGGGCTGGGTCGCGTGACCGTGCGCCTTCCCTAGGCTCATGACGATGGCGCGGCTTGGGTCGGATGGGTGTGCACCGGGTCGTACGTTTTACCTACGATGATGAAGGCTGGGTCGCAAGGGCTACAGCAGAACCGTATATGTTGCATCGGATGGTGAGGGTCGGGTCGGATGGAACTGCACCGCTGTTTTGGCGCTGGATGGTGAGAGTTGGGCCGCATGGATGTGCGTCGAAAAGTATCGTTTCCATCGGATGACCAGGGCTCGGCCGCATTGATGTGGGCAAACCTGTTTTTTGGCACCAGTTTGGCACCATACTGTGCGAAATGGGTCGGGTGGATGTATGTTCGAATCGGATGATCACGGCTGGGTGGTATGGATGTGCGCGGCCCATCTTTGAGTGGGTTGATTAAGACTGGTGTGCGCGGCGCTACGGCGAGACCCGCATTACCACATTTTGAAAACAAGCTGGCTTCCATCTTTGACATTGCAGCAAGTTTTCGAGACGAAGGTGCGCGGCGCTAAGGCGATAATCGCATTTTGAAAATGACTTGGGGTCAATCTGTGATACGGGCGCACGCGTTCAATACGAATGTGCGCGGGGCTACGGTGAGTTCTATATTCTACCAACGACCAGAGTTCCATCCTTGAAGTGTTTACAAATTGGAAGTTTCATGCGCAGGAGTGGCGAGAAATCTCAGGCGAAACGCCAGGCCGGGCTTACGGACACGTCCGGTGGTGCGACACGGAAGGTAAGCTATACAGAAAAATAATCGAGGATGAGGGGGTGAGGAGGAAGAGGAGGAGGAGGAAAAGTAGGACGAGGAGGAAAAGGAAAGACAAGAGAGGAGGAACATGAGGGTGGAGTAGGAAACGGAGAAGGACGAGGAAAGGGGGAGGGGGAGGAGGCCGACGGGGAGGAGGAGGAGGAGGAGGAGGAGGAGGAGGAGGAGGAGGAGGAGGAGGACGACGACTAGGACGAAAAAAAAGGAGGAGGAGGAAGAGTAGGAGGAGGATGAGGACGAAGAGGAGGAGGAAACGGAATGGAGGCGGAGTGTGAGGAGGAGAAGGAGAGGTGGAACAGGAGGAGGAGGAGGAAGAGGAAGAGGTGGAGGAGGAGGAGAAGGAAAAGAGAGGTTGCGGAGGAGGAGGAGGAGGAGGAAGAGGCTGAGGAAAAGGAGGAGGAGGAAGGGGGATAGGAAGAGGAGGAGGAGGAACAGGAAGAGGAGGAGGACGAGGAGGAGGAGGAAAAGGAAGGCTGTGGAGGAGGAAGAGGAGGAAGGGGGATAGGAAGAGGAGGAGGCGGAGGAGGACCAGGATGTCCGTCACCATACGATGTTGGGGCCCCGCATGGGAGCCTCTACGCAGATGGCGCACAGGGCCCTCGCGGAAGTAGCCTCTGCCGCCTCTCGGCCTCCTGCGGCCTTGGCGGGCTTCCTGCGATCCGATTCGGTGCGACTCGATTCGCCAGCTGGGGCCGCGATTTCGATCCGAGTCGATTTGGTTTGATCAGGACCAGCCGGGGCCAGGCGAGGGGGTCCGATTCGAATTCGCTTCTCGACGATTCGCTGGCGATCCGCGTATTCGATCCGATCCGATGTCGCGATTCGATCCATCTCGGACTTTTTCGTCTGTTCTCCGCGGCTCTCCAGCCTCGGGATGCCTTCCAACGGTTTTGCCTCGCCGAGAGCGTTCCGGTGGTGCCCGGACCTTTCCGCTGGAGGCGCGAGTTATGGCCCGAAAACAAGGAAGCGGGAGGTCACGGGAATGTTAGGGGGGATATGTTCAGGGGATGCATCGGCCCCCAACCGCCCATTTGTCTTTGCTTGCATCTCCGATAGGGGCCCAGGGACGTGCTGATTCGATACCGCGGGGCTACATCGGTTTCAGCGATCTATCGGCGATGCATCGCCGATTCTAGGCCCCCCCCAACGTTCCCCTCAAGAATGGGGACGAAGCCCGACGGCCGTTCCCGTCTTTTTTTTCAACAGGTCTCGCTGTCAGTGTCGCCGCGGGCGTTGTGGATTTGAGTCAAATGGTTGCTTGCCGAACGACGACCGTGTTGGGAGTCGTGCCCAATGTTCCCCTTCCCGCACCCATGCCGGGCTCGCCAAGCGTGGGCGCAGAGGTGACTCGCACATCGCCGTCGCAGGGCGTTGTGCGCGAAATGGGGTGGCTTACAGTGGGGGCCCATGCCAAGAGATGCCCTGCTTGCCTCCAGGGTGCCCTGGGTTTCTTGGGTTTTGATGGCTTTCCTGTGGAAGGCGCGACGCTCCCACCCGAAAAGTCGATGGACGTCCTGAGCTGTCAGGGTTAGGTTTCATGTGGAAGGATCTGATGCTCCAACTTATGTCAACCTTGATCACCAGAAAGAATTCGAGCACCAAGAAAGTACCCACACTGGAGGGCTTTTGCATGTCGGGCCCTGGGAGGCGATACTCGTTCGACACCGTTTCGACACTTTTCTGGATACTCGAGGTTATTTCTGGGATGTCGTCCTGAAGTACGATGCTCGTGCCGAACGAAAGGGGGGGATAGGGAAAGGGGGGGTTACGAGCTCTGCTGCATGCAGCTGGTTTCGGCCCCGCCGCCGGGATCATTCCTCGATGGACGGGCGCCTCCAGGCGCTGGGAAAATCAGCTACGCGAGCTGCTTCTCTACCCTGCCCTTTGCTATATCCCCCCCTCTCGTTCCCCCCGAGATGCGAGCAGCATACAGTCGGGGCGCTGAAGAAGGCACCCTTTTCCCTGGGGAGGGGCTCGGTGCTCCTTGACTGTTGTGCAGCCTGCTTGCCCGAGGCTCCCCGAAGGGCTTGCGTGGGGACTCGAAGAGCAACTTCTGGGAAGAAGGGGCCTCGCTCCTCCTCCTCGGCGCGAGCTTCGTGGCGGGCGCTTGCGGGCCACGGCGCCCCGGGAGCGGTCCCACTGCAAGATGTGCGGCGGGGCGGCGCTGTCGGGTCGGGCGTGCGCCTCCAGCAGAGGAGGAGGAGGAGGAGGTGGAGGAGGAGGAGGAGGAGGAGGAGGAGGAGGAGGAGGAGGAGGAGGAGGAGGAGGAGGAGGAGGAGGAGGAGGAGGGGAGGAGGAGAGGAGGAGGAGAGAGGAGGAGGAGGAGGAGGCAGGCGGGAAGCTTCCGTTTGTGGACCGGCCTCCGCTGCGACCGCTGCGACCGCGGCGACCGCGGGCCCGGAGCCAGGGCGGCCGCCCCCTCGCCGGGGGGGGGGGGGGCGGCGCGGTGGCGCGCGAGGGCGCGCGAGGGGGGATCGCGCGCAACCGCCCCGCGGGGCGCGGTGGGCGGGCGCGGTGCGCGGGGCTAGTCTAGGCCTCCTAGGTGGGGTCGGAGCAGATGGGGTCTGAGGATCGCGCCGCATCGCCGATGCATCGGCGATGCAGCTCGATGCGGAGCCCGACTTGCTCCACGTCGACTCCGACGATGCACCGCCGATGTCGACGTTGCATCGCCGGTGCATCGCCGATACATCGCCGATACATCGCCGATGTATCGGCGATGCGGCGCGATCCTCCGACGCCATCTACTCCGACCCCATCTAGGAGGCCTCTAGCTCGGCGTGGGTCGGGCGTGTCCCCCTACGGGCGGATGTTGGCCGAAACACGGATTCTTTGTGTGTACGTGGGCGTGGGTCGGGCGTGTCCCCCTACGGGCGGATGTTGGCCGAAACACGGATTCTTTGTGTGTAAGGAAGGGGAACATCGAAAACATGCAGCACGAAAAGCAAAGAGAGAGAAGAACACACCCGCACCCGAAACAGTGAGACAAACACAAATAAATCGTCCCCAGACTATGTTTCACTGTTTGCGAATCTTCCTCCTGTAAAGGGACAGGCCCGACTTAAGGCTAGGCTTCAGTCGGGCCTGTCCCTCGACAGGAGGAATATTCAAAAATAGTCCAAATTTAGTCCGGGGACGATTTGTTGACTATTGATGGGCATGTTTTGAACATCTGTTGACTAGTTTTTGATCTTTCGTCCAAGATCCCCCTGCAGGGGGACAGGCCCGACCTGAGGTTAGGCGACCTCGAGGATACAGCTGGAAAGTGTCACAGTGGCAGCCCGTGCCAAGAAGCACCCTGCTTGCCTCCAGGGTGCCCTGGGTTTTTTGGGCTTCGATGCTTTTGCCATGGAGAAGGTGACGTTCCCACATTCCAGACATCGATGGACGTCTTGGGGTCTCAGGGTTGGGTTTCTTGTGGCAGGTTTCTTGTGGACTGGCCTCCACTGTACATTCGGATGCAACTCCTGGGAGGTCAAATTCTGATTTTGCCCTGGTCCGAAGTCCGACTTCATCTGGTTTAATCCGGCGTAATACCGCTTAATCCGGTTTAATCCCGCTTAATTCCGCTTAATCCGGCTTAATCCTGCTTAGTCCGAGGCCCACTCTGGCGTAACAGCTCCCAAATGGGGCTTAATCCTTCTTAATCTTTCCGACGAAAACCTCCCAGTAGTTGCCTCCTAATTTACAGCTGGAAATCATTAGATCCTTATCATCCTCGTCCTGTGCCATGTGTGCTGCCCCGTCCACCTCATCATCCTCGTCCTCGCCGTCCTTCCGCTCTCCCCCCCTGTTCTCTGGCCCAGGGGTGGACCTAAACGGTGTTTTGGCGATCTCGTGGGCCGTTTTTGTTTCGATATCGTTTTGCGTTGAAGACGGACTGAAGACAAAGAGAGGGACAACGAAAACAAATCGAACACGAACACAAAACGAAACAAAACGAAAACATATGGAAAACAAAACGGAAAACAAGGCGGATTGAAAACAACACGAACACAACAC